CAAAAGAAAGGGGAACTTCAGGAAGACCTCATCCCACCTAGTTTCAATCCCATTCTTAGTTGTGCAGGTTGGGGGTGGGGTGGCATCCACACCTGTGGGGACAAAGGCAGAGACTCCTAGGAGGCAAGACGTAGAGATGAGCTGGTGGCCCCAGGGACCAGAGCAGCTAGAGACAGGAGCTGCCTCCACACAGAGAGGTGGCCCCGTGGAGGACAGACTGTGACTGGAGAGGCCGCAGGACAGGGGCATCGGACCTTCCTCCTCTGGGCAGCCCACAGCCCACAGGAGCGCAGGAAGCTGTGGGGAGACCAGAAGGCCTTGCAGCTGCTACGGGAAGGCAGCTGCCTTCAACCCCCATCCAGAGCCCAATACAGACACAGCCTCCAGAGCAGAATTCTCCAAGGCCAACAAGGATCTTCCTCTAGGATGGCATGAGCTGGCCAGAAGAGGCCTTGAGAATGGTCTTGGCCTGTCCTTGTGATCACAGAAGAATGGACCAGATGAAACAGACTGCCAGAAGCTTCCAGAACAGAGAGCAGAGGAGAAGAACAAAGTTGCGGTCTTTGACCCATCTGATGGGACAGCAGCACATCTGAGCTCTGCAGGGAGAGCTAGCTGGAGATAGAGAGGCTGCCCTGGGCGCCCAAGAGCCCGTCCAGTACTGGGCGAGAGAAGAAGTCAGGAATGGATCAGACTTCAGCTGAGGTAGGGCAGAGTGGGCAGGGACACCCTGGAACTCAGAGAGCAAGAGCAGAGCAGCTGGAACTATGGTAGGCAGCAGGTGCTAGCAGGGGGGTGGCACCCGGGACAGTGACAATGCAGCCCAGCTGTGCTAGTGCAGGTGGAGTCCTAGAACCAGGAGCTCCCAGGCGTCCTGGGAGTGAGACTGGAGCAGCTGTGGGAAAGGGGCCAGTGGGACGGGGCACACGGATGGTTAGGAGCTCGGGAGTGGGGACAGAGCAGCTGCAGTATTGCCGCGAGTGGCAGTTCTGGGATGGGAGCCCAGGAGCTCAAGGAGCCAAGGTGGAGCCGGCAGCCTGAGCAGCAGCTCTGGGGATGCTGAAAGCCAGTGGTGCCAGAACAGCAGGAGCCAGAGCATAGCAACAACGCTGGCCAGGGCAGGGGTGAGTCTGGAGGGACAGGGCAGGCGTGGGGGCACAGGGAGCAGGCCCAGGGTAGAGGCAGGGCAGCTGGAGAACGTTGCGGGGCTGGAGGGGTAGGGCGGCCCCAGGAGCTCAGGGCAGCAGGCACAGACCAGATACAGGGGAGCTGGAGAATATTGGAGGGCCAGAGGGACAGGGCAGGCCCAGGAGCTCAGGAGAGCAGCTTCAGAGCAGCTTTAGGGAGCTGGGGTATAATGGGGAGCCAGAGGGACAGGGCAGCCCCAGGAGCTCAGGGGAGCAGACACAGATGAGCTACAGAGGAGCTGTAGAATGTTGGGGGGCTGGAGGATCAGGGCAGCCCCAAGAACTCAGGGAAGCAGGCATAGAGCAGCTATGGGGAGCTAGGGAATGTTGGGGGTCTGGAGGGACAGGGCAGCCCCAGGAGCTCAGGGGAGCAGCTACAGACCAGGTACAGGGGAGCTGGAGAATGTTGGGGGGCTGGAGGGACAGGGCAGACCCAGGAGCTCCGGGGAGCTGTTACAGACCAGGTACAGGGGAGCTGGAGAATGTTGGGGGGCAGAGGAACAGGGCAGCCCCAGGAGCTCAGGGGAGCAGTTACAGACCAGGTACAGGGGAGCTGGAGAATGTTGGGGGGCTGGAGGGACTTGGCAGCCCCAGGAGCTCAGGGGAGCAGTTACAGACCAGGTACAGGGCAGCTGGAGAATGTTGGGGGGCTGGAGGGACAGGGCAGACCCAGTAGCTCAGGGGAGCAGTTACAGACCAGGTACAGGGGAGCTGGAAAATATTGGGGGGCAGAGGAACAGGTCAGCCCCAGGAGCTCAGGGGAGCAGTTACAGACAAGGTACAGGGGAGCTGGAGAATGTTGGGGGGCTGGAGGGACTGGGCAGCCACAGATGCTCAGGGGAGCAGTTACAGACCAGGTACAGGGCAGCTGGAGAATGTTGGGGGGCTGGAGGGACTGGGCAGCCCCAGGAGCTCAGGGGAGCAGTTACAGACCAGGTACAGGGGAGCTGGAGAATGTTGGGGGGCTAGAGGGACAGGGCAGCCCCAGTAGCTCAGGGGAGCAGTTACAGACCAGGTACAGGGGAGCTGGAGAATGTTGGGGGGCCGGAGGGACTGGGCAGCCCCGGGAGCTCAGGGGAGCCGTTACAGACCAGGTACAGGGGAGCTGGAGAATGTTGGCGGGCTGGGGGGACTGGGCAGCCCCAAGAGCTCAGGGGAGCAGTTACCGACCAGGTACAGGGGAGCTGGAGAATGTTGGGGAGCTGGAGGAACAGGGCAGCCCCAAGAACTCAGGGAAGCAGGCATAGAGCAGCTATGGGGAGCTAGGGAATGTTGGAGGTCTGGAGGGACAGGGCAGACCCAGGAGCTCAGGGGAGCAGCTACAGACCAGGTACAGGGGAGCTGGAGAATGTTGGGGGGCTGGAGGGACAGGGCAGACCCAGGAGCTCCGGGGAGCTGTTACAGACCAGGTACAGGGGAGCTGGAGAATGTTGGGGGCCAGAGGGACTGGGTAGCCCCAGGTGCTCAGTGGAGCAGTTACAGACCAGGTACAAGGGAGCTGGAGAATATTGTGGGGCTGGAGGGACAGGGCAGCCCAGGAGCTCAGGGGAGCAGTTACCGGCCAGGTACAGGTGAGCTAAAGAATGTTGGGGAGCTGGAGGGACAGGGCAGACCCAGGAGCTCAGGGGAGCAGTTACAGACCAGGTACAGGGGAGCTGGAGAATGTTGGGGGGCTGGAGGGACTGGGCAGCCCCAGGAGCTCAGGGGAGCAGTTACAGACCAGGTACAGGGCAGCTGGAGAATGTTGGGGGGCTAGAGGGACAGGGCAGCCCCAGTAGCTCAGGGGAGCAGTTACAGACCAGGTACAGGGGAGCTGGAAAATATTGGGGGGCAGAGGAACAGGGCAGCCCCAGTAGCTCAGGGGAGCAGCTACAGACCAGGTCCAGGGGAGCTGGAGAATGTTGGGGGGCTGGAGGGACTGGGCAGCCACAGATGCTCAGGGGAGCAGTTACAGACCAGGTACAGGGGAGCTGGAGAATGTTGGCGGGCTGGGGGGACTGGGCAGCCCCAAGAGCTCAGGGGAGCAGTTACCGACCAGGTACAGGTGAGCTAAAGAATGTTGGGGGGCTGGAGGGACAGGGCAGCCCCAGGAGCTCAAGGGAGCAGTTACAGACCAGGTACAGGGGAGCTGGAAAATATTGGGGGACCAGAGGAACAGGGCAGCCCCAGGAGCTCAGCGGAGCAGTTACAGACCAAGTACAGGGCAGCTGGAGAATGTTGGGGGGCTGGAGGAACAGGGCAGCCCCGGAGCTCAGGTGAGCAGTTACAGACCAGGTACAGGGGAGCTGGAGAATGTTGGGGGGCCGGAGGGACTTGGCAGCCCCAGGAGCTCAGCGGAGCAGTTACAGACCAAGTACAGGGCAGCTGGAGAATGTTGGGGGGCTGGAGGGACTGGGCAGCCTCAGGAGCTCAGGGGAGCAGGCACAGAGCAGATACAGGGGAGTCAGAGAATGTTGGGGGGCTGGAGGAACAGGGCAGCCCCGGAGCTCATAGGCAAAGCATCAGAGCTAAAGTCCACTTTGTAGCAGGAACCGAGCAGGTGTGGAGCAGAGTAAGCGGAGGCCCTGGGCAGGCTTCGTCCTCCCTGAGGAGCAGGCAAATGCCAGGGCAGGACAGGGGAGAGCCGAGCTTCCCGACCAGTGCATGTGCCACCAGACCCAGGGCAGCTGCTCCTCAGTATGGAAGGGCTGGGCTGAGTTTGGAGGCTGGTGGCCACAGAGCTGCTGTCCAGGTCAAGCAAAGGCATCCTGAGGATGAAGAGAAGCTGGCAGAGGCTTCTGGAGCAAGCAGGGAGCAGAATGGAAGAGAGCGGCCTGAGGCTGCAGCGCAGGGGCCACGGCAGGGTCCGAGGCGCTGCTGGGGATGGGTGTCTGTCCTGCAGGCACAGGCAGGGCCAGAGGGAGGCCAGGTTGGAGCCACACTTGGGCAGGACGAGATAGGAGACAGCCCAGGGCTCCTGCAGGGAAGAGGGAGGTACTTTGAAAAGCAGTGAGGCCAGGCAGGGTCACCCTGAGAGCCCCAAGCACAGGGGCAGAGCCAGAGGACCCGGCTCTGTAAGGATGCGACTGGCTCCAGAAGCAAGAAGGGCCGTGATGTCCCGGGCCATAGCGGCAGCGGCATTGCCGGGGCCGCCGCAGGGGCTCGGGGACCTGCTGTCCCTCCTTACACGAGCCCCTGCTCCCCCCAGCTTCCCCCTGCTCTCCAGGAGCCCCCAGCCCACACAGCATGGCCCCTCCCACGGCTGAGGCCTGGGGAATAACCGGTGGGCCAGGAAGCCAGCGGGCGAGGGCACAGGCTCCGGCTGAGCACACGGTGGAGTGGGCGCGTGTGTGCCACAGACACCAGTGCTGGAGGCCGGGAGGTGTGGGCGGCTCCCACGCGAGCAGAGCAGAAGCGGCTCTGGGCCACGGGCTTGCGGGAGGAGGGGGGGAAATGACAAGAGCACACGGAGCAGCAGGCCAGGACACCCCAGAAGGAAGCAGAGCCCACTCAGGGCCTGCGCAGAGACTGCCAGTCAGAAGAGACCTGCCATCTTCCTGAGGGGCGAGCACCTCAACCTCGAGTGCTCAGGAACAAAAAACTAGCTCCTGGGGTCCAGACATGCTGGTCACCACAGCGGAGGGGGGTGGGGGGGAAGCTGAGAGAGGAGGAGCTGCGGCCGCCTGACTGCACTCACCACACGGCGCCTGCCCCTGCAGGAAGGACCTAGAAGCCAGGACAGGTCAGGGCCTCCGCTGGGAACAGGAGGGGACAGGAAGGGAGGGGCCGTGACTGACCCTCAGGACGCAACCCAGGAAGACGGGAGCAGGGGCCATGTCCAAGGATGGGCCATCTCACAAGCCTAAGATCCCAGACAGCAGGGGTAGGGTCCCACGGATGAGTAGGAGGTGGCAGGGATCACTTCAGGGAAAGTTCCAGAGCCCAGAGCCCAGACCCAGGGGGCGGGGGGAGGGGGGGGGGAGAGGAGGGGGGAAAAGGGGCCTGGCTGGGCTGCCTAGCCTCACAGCAAGTTCTACAAGACAAAGCCCTCAAAGGCAAATGTGAGGGCCAGGGTTCTAGGGCTGGAGCTGGGCCAGCAGCACAGAAGGGTTGAGCCCAGGCCTGTGTCCCAGCCCTGTTAGCCTCACCCACAGCACAGCCAGGACCCGGGGCCAAGACCCACAGCAGAGTCAGGACCCCAGGCCACGACCCACAGCAGAGTCAGGACCCGGGGCCAAGACCCACAGCAGAGTCAGGACCCCAGGCCACGACCCACAGCAGAGTCAGGACCCGGGGCCACGACCCACAGCAGAGTCAGGACCCCGGGCCACGACACACAGCAGAGTCAGGACCCGGGGCCACGACCCACAGCAGAGTCAGGACCCGGAACCATGACCCACAGCAGAGTCAGGTTGGGAGTTGGGGTCACGAAGGGCAGAGGGCGTGTGGACACCAGCATAGCACCAACATCAGGCCAGGATTGCAGCAGGAGGCTGGAGCAGGTGCCAGGGCCCAGGAGACTGACGGCAGCCAGCGTGGCCCAGACAAGCAGGGGGAGGAAGGAGCAGGAGGCCCAGCTGTGACCCGCTAGTGCTGGCCAGGGGACGGGGCGGACTGGATGGAAGAGGACAGCACCCCACACGCAAAGCTTAGACATGTCAGAGCACAGCACACGGAGACACACCACACAGCTTTCTGGGATCACCTGAGAACAGGTGCCACAGGCCAGGCCTTGCCTGGGCCCCTGGGCTGTGCACAGGGTAAACTGAGGCAGATGGAGTGAGCGAGATGTGTGGATGACACCCACAGACCAGACATTGGTCTCTCCCTCAACTCTGCACAGGAGCTGGGCTCTGAGGTGCAGGGACGCGGGGTCTGGGCCCTCACAGGACTGGACAGGAGGTCTGGGCCCTCACGGGGCTGGGACACGGGCCTGGGGCAGCCATGTCCCCCACCACACTCTCTTGGTACTTCCTCTCTTGCAGCCAGCACCACAGCCCCATCCGTCTTCCCCTTGGCTCCCAGCTGTGGAGTCAGTTCTGGCTCCACGGCGTCCCTGGGCTGCCTGGTCAGCGGCTTCTTCCCCGAGCTGGTCACCGTGTCATGGAAGTCCGGAGCGGCCGAGTTGACCAGCGGTGTGCGCACCTTCCCATCTGTTCTGAAGTCAGGGCTCTACTCGCTCAACAGCATGGTGACGGTGTCCTCCAGCACCTGGCCCAGCCAGACTGTCACCTGCCATGTAGTCCACCCGGCCAGCAACACCAAGGTGGACAAGACCATTGGTAAGGAGACAGCCCGAGGGAGGGTCCCCGGGAGCCAGGCATGGGTCGGCTGTCCCTCCTGGACACCCCAGGGTGGGCAGTTCATGCCAGAGGGGCTGCAGGCCAGACTCCTGTCTGTCTCTCACCTTGAGGAACCCAGTGGCCCGGCCTCTCTCCATCGGGGAAGGCCCTCTGGGCGGATGCTCTCCTCAGCCCCAGACAGAGCTGCCCAGAATCACAACCAGGGTCAGCTGGCGTCTAATCTGAGCCCTCGCCAGGGACCAACGCTCCAATCCGTCAGCATGGCGCCTCCTCACCTCAGCCCCAGTAACCACAACCTTCTTTTGGCAGAGCCCAGGTCTTCGGAGCCCCCCTTGCCAAGATGCCATTGCCCAAGTAAGTTGCCAGACCTAAGCCCCCAAAGCCCCCTGCCTCAGGACTTAGAAACAGCCAAAAACAGTGTCCATTGGAGGGAGGCCCCCCTGCTGACCTCTTCCTCCATGTCTTTCCACATAGAACCTGCGTGCGACATTGGACCATTTGTCCTCATCTTCCCTCCAAACCCAAAGGACACACTCATGATCTCCCAAGACCCCAAGGTCACCTGTGTGGTGGGAGACGTGAGCCGGGATAACCCAGAGGTCGAGATCACCTGGTTCATAGACAATGTGGAGGTACACGAGGCCCAGACGCTGCCCCCAGAACAGCAGTACAACAGCACACTCCAAGTGGTCAGCGTCCTGCCCATCCAGCACCAAGACTGGCTGTCAGGAAAGGAGTTCAAGTGCAAAGTCAAGAACAAGGACCTCCCAGCCCCCATAGAGAAAACCATCTCCAAAGTCAAAGGTGGGAGCAATGCGCTGAGAGCGCCGGGTGGCCACGCCCACAGGGCGGAGCCTGGCCTGGACAGCCCTCGGCCCCGGCAGTGACCTCTGCTGACCTCTGTCCCCACAGGGCAAGCCCGAGAGCCACAAGTGTATGTCTTGCCACCACCGAGAGAGCAGATGACCAACCCAAAGCTCAGCCTGACCTGCTTGGCACAAGGGTTCTACCCTGAGGATATCTTTGTGGAATGGAGGAGCAATGGCCAGCCAGAGGAGAACTACAAGAGCACCTCGCTCGTCTTGGACTCCGATGGGTCCTACTTCCTCTACAGCAAGCTGCCAGTAGACAAGAGCAGGTGGGAGAGAGGAGACAGCTTCACCTGCTCTGTGATGCACGAGGCCCTGCACAACCACTTCACGCAGAAGACCATCTCCCGGTCTCCGGGTAAATGAGAGCTGGGCCTCAGCAGCCGGTGCCTCCCTCTGGGCCTCGGTCCACAGGAGGCTGGCACCTGCCACCCCTCCCCATGTAAATAAAGCACCCAGTGAAGCCTGGGACCTGCGAGGATGTCCTGGTCTTTTCTGAGGCTCAGAGCCCATCTCCTGCCTGGGCCTTGTGCAGTGGGGACAGGCCGGGCTCCAAGGGCTCGGCCGCCATCACCCGGGAGGGATTCGGCCAGATGGCGCCCAGTGGGGAAGCCAGCTAGGGACTTGGCCCAGGCCCCACAGCCCCTCCCTCAGGCATCCCTCCCGGCCCACGGCCTCGGGACACACAGCCTTACACACACCCTCGGAGCCCAGCCCAAGAGGGCAGGCACACGGAACAAGACCAGCCTCCACCACTCTGCCCTCTTCCCTCCCTCTGCCCACCCGTCTCCCAGTGCCCACCGCACACCAGCCTGCCTCTGCCTGGAGAGGCACTGTCCCCCACGCCCAGACACACCGTTGGCCCCCACCTCACCCACAGGAGACAGGGCAGCCACAGGCCCTGGAGCAGCTCTGCCGTGCACTCAGGAACAGAGCAGGCGCCACTGTGCCTCGGGACAAACGGTCCACACGCCCGGAGGACACAGCCACAACCCTCACCACACCTGCTCAGCACCGCAGACCACGGGCCCTGCTCACACACGCACATGCTGCACACCCGTGCACACACACTCCACCACACTGGGCCTCACACGGCAACCTGAACAGCACACAACCAGCAGGGGACACTCACTGAGCTCGGGCCCATCCCTGACCTCACATCACCCACAGGCGCCCAGCCCTCCCCTCCGGCCACCCGCACCCCCACTGCCCACACAGCCCTGGACCTGAGCCCACCTCACACACAGGAGACGCGCCCCTAGTTTATGCGTCCTGCCCCCCAAGCCACGCGCTCTCCTCCCCTCAGCCCAGGCTCCACTGGGAATGGACCTGTGCGCTCTGGCGCTCTGGGCCTGGACGCCAGGGCAGGGAGAAGGCCAGGGACAGACACTGCTGCAGGGTGTCCAGCCCTGACGCTTGTGACCACCAGCACTGAGCAGCTGACCCCTCGGGGAGGGACAGACTTTCCCAGCCACCTTCCAGGACCAGGAATCTGCCTGGGCCTGGACCTGAGCCCCAGTTGGTGGGACACTGGGCGCTTTTGCCGCCCCACATGGGAGCCGCTGGCCCGGCCCACTGCCCCTTCCTCCCTGGCCGCCCTGCAAGACACACCCTGCCACACAGGGCGTCCCTCAGCCCCGCTGGGCACACTGACCACCCCCTCCCTGTCCAGAGCTGGACCTGGACGAGACCTGTGCTGAGGCCCAGGACGGGGAGCTGGACGGACTCTGGACGACCATCACCATCTTCATCACCCTCTTCCTGCTCAGCGTGTGCTACAGCGCCACCGTCACACTCTTCAAGGTCGGCCACCGTGTCCCCACGCGGTCCCACTGTGTGTCCCCGGGCTGAACCACAGGGTCTCTGTGATGTCCAAGCTGTGCCTCTGCCTTTCCACGGAGTCCCATACCTTACCATCAGTGCGACACCATACCACACTGTCCCCTCTGTCCACACTGTCCTTCTGAAGGCCTGCACGCTGTCCATCTGTCCTCCACACTGTCCCATCTGTCCACACTGTCCATCTGTCCACACTGTCCATCTGTCCACACTGTCCATCTGTCCACACTGTCCCATCTGTCCACACTGTCCATCTGTCCACACTGTCCATGCTGTCCACACTCCATCTGTCCACACTGTCCATCTGTCCACACTGTCCATGCTGTCCATACTGTCCATCTGTCCACACTGCCCCCTCTGTCCACACTGTCCATCTGTCCACACTGTCCATCTGTCCACACTGTCCATCGGTGCACACTGTCTATCTGTCCACACTGTCCATCTGTCCACACTGCCCCATGCTGTCCACACTGCCAATCTGTCCACACTGTCCATCTGTCCACACTGTCCATCTGTCCACACTGTCCATCTGTCCACACTGTCCATCGGTGCACACTGTCTATCTGTCCACACTGTCCATCTGTCCACACTGCCCCATGCTGTCCACACTGCCAATCTGTCCACACTGTCCATCTGTCCACACTGTCCATCTGTCCACACTGTCCATGCTGTCCACACTGTCCATCGGTGCACACTGTCCATCTGTCCACACTGTCCATCTGTCCTCCACGCTGTCCCACGTTCTCTCACGCAGTCCCCGTTTTCCTTCATGGGCTGGAGGGTGGCGTCCAGGTGCTGTGCCTGGCTCACCGCTGCTGTCCCACAGGTGAAGTGGATCTTCTCCTCGGTGGTGGAGCTCAAGCAGACAATCGCCCCTGACTACAGGAACATGATTGAGCAGGGACCCTAGACCCTAGGCCGAGGCCTAGGGCTTTCCGGTCCCCTGCGGAGCTGAGGAAGATGATCTCCCTGGGCTACAGGAGCATGATGGGCCGGGGCCCTCGGACCGCCTCCTGCATGGACCAGGGCTCCCAAGCCCTGTGGGATGACAGCCAGGCCACACCTGTCCTGTGTCCTCACTGCCCCTGACCTTGCAGCCCCCTGATCTGCAGCTGCCCTCCCTGGACCGCATGGGTCACAGGCTCTGTCCCACAATGTCAGTGTCACGGTCATGATACCTTTCACAGCACCCATCAAGCCGTGGGCCCAGCACCAGAGGTCTGTGTATCCCTCACTGGGACTTCCCTGTCCTCCATCCCTAGGGCTCGACCCTGTGGGAGGCAGAGGACAGCACTGCCCATGTCTGTCTTCTCAGCGATGGGCCTTGGAGATGGCCTTATCCCTGCTAGCCTCCTGACAACAGAGTCTTCTGAGAAAGAGAGAAGTTTCCAGAGTAAAGACGCTGCCCATGAGTTAGGGGAGCACCGTTGTGCCCCGAAGGAGGGCTGGGGCTGGGGCTGGGCTGCCAGGGTGGCTCGTGGATTTTGCCCCAGCCCAGTCCTAGCCAGGCCAATCTTGGCACTTGAGGTCACTCCAGACTGACCAGTGGGTTTTTTTTTGATTATGAGGCTTGAACTCAGGGCCTAAACACTATCCCTGAGATCCTTCGCTCTACACGGGGGGAAGAGGAGCTTTCAAATTTTTTTATGTTTTTATTTTTTAATTTTATCATAAGTGTGATGTACAGAGGGTTACAGTGACATAAGTCAGGTAATGGGTACATTTCTTTTTTTTTTTTTTGCCAGTCATGGGGCCTGAATTGTGGGCCTGGGCACTGTCCCTCAGCTCTTCAGCTCAAGGTTAGGGCTCTAACACTTGAGCCACAGCCCCACTTGCAGCTTTTTCTGCTTATGTGGTACTGAGGAATCCAACCCAGGACCTCATGCATATGTGGCAAGCACTCTACCACTGAGCCACCTTCCCAGCCCCACGGGTGCATTTCTTTTTGATCAGTGTCACCTCTTCCCTTGTTCCCACAAGTGGCATATTCGTTTTCAATACAGTGTCTGGTATCACTGCTAAATTAAGTTTACCCTCTGTCCCACCATTTCTGTGCTTCCCCTCCCCAAAACAGATAAACTTAGATACAAGACAAAAAGTTCAAAAATCAAAAATAGCAACAGAGGGGGGAAAAAAACAACAACCCCATAAATAAATGGGCATAAGACTTGAAGAGAGATTTCTCAGAAGAAATCACACACATGGATATAACATCTCTGGCCATAAAAGAAATGCAAATCAAAACAACATTGAGATTCCACCTCACCCCAGTGAGAATGGCCCTTTTCAAGAAAACTAATGATAACAAATGCTGGTGGGGATGTGGACAAAAGGGAATGCTACTACAATGTTGGTGGGAATGTAAACTTGTTCAACCACTCTGGAAAGCAGTATGGAGGTTTCTCAAGAGACTAAACAAAGAGTTTTCCTGTGCTCCAGCAATTCCACTCCTGGGAATTCACCCAATTGACCACAAACCAAACCACAGGAAAGCTACCAGCACAACCATGTTCATTGTAGCGCTCTACCACTTTGAGCCACAGAGCCACTTCCAGTTTTCTGGTGGTTAATTGGAGATAAGAATCACAGAGACTTTCCTGGGCCTCAGCCTCCTGACTTGGGAGGATTACAGGTGTCTAGTGGGTCTGTGCCTCTTGAGCTCTGTGTTTCTTGGGCCTTCCTTGTGCAGGCACTGACTCCTACTTGTTGCTGGGTACTCAGAGATGAGATCCAACTTACCTTCTCAGGACCAAGACACTGTCACCTTCACCCAGAGTCCAGGCTTTTCTCCAAGAAGACCATGCAGAGGACGCCTCTGATCACAAGGACACTCAGACCCCTAACAGGTCTAAGGGTAGAGACCAACTGAGGAAGATGGACCTCCAGGAGGGGGAACTGGTGATTAGGTCCCAAGGCAGGTCTCGTGGATAGAGAAAGCTGGCAACCATCTGGGGAAGAAATGAAGTGGGCTGGAAGGAGCCCGGAACAGAGACAGACGCAGGCCATGGTATCTACTCCTGGATAGCTCACAGAGACAGCCCTGTGGCCTGGTAAGCCAGGCCCAGAGGCAGGGATCCATTTCTCTGTCACTTCTCCAGATAGATTAGCCAGACCAGAATCTCCAGAAAGCAACAAAGACAAAAATGGGGGCAGTGGCTGGTGCCTGACACTCAGGAAATGCTCAGAGGTTGTACAGCTTTAACTTTCCTCCTTCTTTTTTTATTATGAAAATACTGTACAGAGGGGTTACAGTTACATGAGCAAGGTAATGAGCACATTTCTTATCCAGCATTGTTGCCTCCTCTTCTGTTTTTCCCCTACCATCCCTTCCCTCCCACCTCCTCAACTAAACCCACCGTCCCACCCCTCCCACCCCCCCACTCACCACCCCCCCCACCTACCGTCCCTCCACCTTCTCGCCCCCCCCACCTCCTACCCCCCACCCCCCACCTAAATTGTAAAGTTCATTCTTCGACATCGCGTCTTGTACATCTCATTGTAGCAATGGGTCGATCTGTATCCCTATTTAAACAATTTGTTTGTAACTTTCTGGAGCCCATTAAATGTCTTTAAGTTCTCTATTTTAATGATAATAAAACAGTCCTTCAATATCGCACATCTCGCTCTGGTCTTCTTGTATCC